AAGGAAGCGCTATTTCACAGAAGCAGAAGTTGAGGTACCTATGGGTGAGGTGGAGAAATGAAAGGAAGTGCTTTTGCAAAACAAATAAGAAAATCCACGGAGTGGCACATCGTTGCTGAAGCCATCAATGTTGTGGATTCTTCAGAGAGATCTGTGGCAGATATAAAAAAATGGTCCAATCGGGATTCGATCCCCAGACTCCCGGGTGAAAGTCACGCATGCTAACCAGTCACTCAAACAGAGATCTCCCCTGTACAAGTAGCCACGGCGCATGATCCATCGGGTCACAGTGACAGGACACACACACTGTCACAGACGCATGACATTCTGTCTCAATCTGTCCCCCTGCTGATATTCTGCATTCCATATTCTGCACTTCAGGCTGTGTGTGTGTGTGTGTGCGTGTGGGGGGTCTTGTTCTGTGTGAAAATGAAGCAGTACAATTATTACAGTACAGTACAGTATTATTATTATATTAACAAAAAAAACATTACGATTGCGGCTGCAGTCACAATAAAAAGCAAGTTACATTCAAGAAAAACCGAAGTCTACGGGAGCGCAGAGACCGCCCCATACTCCCTTTATACCAACATCGCCTAATCTTTTATAAAAAGGACATGATTGCGCCACAAAACGACCTAAGGCTCCCTGATGCTACCACGGCATTGCGGCAAATTGACGGCATTGTTTTGTAAAAACGGCTGTTTGTAGAACAGAACTTGGCACCCGAACTTTGACGGAGAAAAGCTAAGATCGGCTTTGGCATCGGCTTTGGATGACTCAGTCTTGGGCTTAACTTTGAGACACGAGCAGATAAGAGGCACTTCAGCACCCACCGCCTTTTTCTTTTTCTTTGACTACGTATGGCAGACTGCCCCATTGACTGATTTCCGTAGCAATGAATACATCATGTTGTTTGTTGCTCTGATTGCCCCTAGCAATTTTCATGCAAAGACAATTTGAAAGGCAACTGTAGATTCCGCCCCGCGAACGAGATCCGTCTACGGGTCGTGACAAGACTATATTTACATTTACAGGATGGCTTGATGCTGTTGTCTCTTCTGTAGGAAGAAGACCAAAGTTTTTGGTTTTACTAAAGAATTATAGTATCCCGTAAAAAGTCATTAACAGGACGGAGAAGCCATCAAAACAGGCAAGACTGTGGTAATGAGCTAAAAGCTTTAGGGCTGTTTTCTACCTTTACTAATTAGCACAGATTTAACAGAAAACTTTAAAACTTTAAAAAAAAAGCAGAGGAAACACATCTAGTCACATCTCACATGAGAGGCTTTTCCCAGCAGCCCTGACAGGGCAGCAAGAATCAGAAGTGCACATTCAAGCGGCGACCACACAGGGATGCAGTCTGCACACACAGATTAAATGCCAACAGCTGCATCAGTTACAGCCAGTCAGCTACGCCTGCTCTGCACTCTGGACCACAGTGGAGCCAGCGGGACAACGTGAAAGGCAAAGATGTGGTTCACTGGAGAAAGTAGTGGTTCTTTAGAGCCACTGCAAGGTTTGGGTAAAACGTTTGCCTGATGAAGTCCCCAAATCATTTAATCATGAATCCTATGTGGAGATAAGTGTGGGGACGGTGAAAAGGCTTGATTGATTGAGCCACACACCTTCTTGTTTTATACTTTCTGTATCAGAAACTTGGGAAGAATTTATGTAGACTCATGTCAAAATATAGCATTAAGCATGTGTTTAAAACGCACCCAAAAAAGTCACTTCAAAGAAAATTTGACTTTGGGAATCCTAATTAAATTACAAAGTGTCATCAACAAAGAAAGTGTGTGTTAAATTTGACACAATTTGACAATCTGGCACAGAAAACACCCATCTTGCCACAAAGTGTGAGAAAAGATGAAGAACGAAAGAGATAATAGCAGCGCTGGAATCATCTTTTTCCATTTCAAAAGCTACAAAATTAAACAAATAAAACTGGCAAAAATATTTCAAACGTTTGCACATATATTTAAGTCTACCCCCAAGTGGCAGCCATATTCCATTACATGCAAATGTGTTTATGGAATGCTCCACGTCTTCTCTGTTATTTTAGTTAGTTAAAGGTCAACTTTGTTTTAAATACATTTGAGGTGGTCTCTAGTAGGAAAGAATGCCTTGTAAGTAGTTCTGTGGAGGAAAAAAATCAGAAGCGCCTGTTTGAGAACGTAGAAGTCAGCTGGAGGAGAGAGTAGCTTCAGACGCCAGGATTTGGAGCCTTACTTCCTGATATTTGGACATATCGCCTCTGATTGGCTGAGGATTGGCGCACCCCGCTAATTGAGAACTACTGGGTTAGCTTCGACTTGTCGGGACGTTTTCTGCTCTCTCCGGGATGCTAAACCAACAACAACCTTCCTCGCTGCGAGCCAAGACGAGTGAATCCATGAATGTTAAGTGACAGTGTGCGTGTTTTTCAGTCTATTCTCTATCAGAAGCTAAGGCAGGAAATAGGGGTAGGGTTTGGGTTAAACTAATGTTAAACTCAGTGACTGATCATTTAAAAAATAATAAGTAAAAAATGGTTTCTCGGTGAACCTGCTATTTTAGGCACAGGTATTTGAAATATGAACAGATTAAACTTATAACTTAAAAAGGACCAACATCGTAAGCTTTGGAGATTTTCATAAAACCTTACAGGCTATTATATCATCAGTCTGTTAAAAATCAAGTAAATACATGAAAGGAAAGTAAGTGCATTCATACTGAATAACTGATTAGTTTTATACAACGAGTGAAAAAAACAACAAAGTGTGAGTTTCTGAGGATCTTTTAGCTTCGGGTCATTTAGTCTAGGTGTGACAGTTTTCTAGAAAGAGTTCATCTTTCCTCGACTTCTGCCTCACACACAGTGGGAACCATCAGGGCCTTCAGGCAGCCCTGTAGCAGGTGGAAGCAGGCTGCCATCACGCATACGCTGTTTGGAAAGCACCATCACTCTAAATGCTGCACCAGCAGCTTCAACAGCAGCTTAGTGAACTTACCCAAGACCAGCTTAAGTGAATGTTGTTTGGACAGGATGTAGAAGAGTTAAACAGGAAGACTAAACAGGTCGTTTTTGCGAGTTGGCTAGTACATGCGGGGTAAACAGAAGCGTTTGGCTGATGCCGGAGCTCGCCGACTGGATCTGTATGCTCCCTGGAATGAGAGTGCTTCTCAGAATAGCCAATGGCAGATGCCTTCCCTCTGTGTTATTTGCAGCCCAAGGGCAATGGAATCCACCGTCACTGTGGTGTCGGTCCTTACCTCGTGGCAGAAAGGTTAAGAGACAAAAATCAGCCGGTTTCCATCAAGAGATTTGTGCTGACGACCGGACCAACACTCATGGTTGCATGCATGGGAATTAAGGTGCACATAAAAAAAAACTCATTTAAAATTAATTGTTTAATTAAAGAGAAAATATGAACTTGCTTTTAGAAATTAAATTTCTAAAAAGATGTTCCACTTCACCTTAACCCTTAGCCTACAAATAATAATAATAAATTATTTTTAATAATTTATATATTTTTTTTTCTTAAAGATGATCAACTTAAACTTAAAGTTTCTTAGAAAAAAAACAGCATCGTATCTGTAAAAAAAGTTAATTTCTAGTATTTTTCCAAGTATTTTCACTTCTATTTGAATTACATCAAATGATAAATAAAAAACTGAGGCTACAAATATGAATCACTCACTGATGTTGAGGTTAACGTCTCCAACAGAAATTACCTCAGTTAAGTTTCTTCTTTTGGCCCCGGGCATTTCGCCACAGAAATACTTTCATTCAAACGCTACAAGAAACTAAGAGATGATCTCTTTTAAGCTGCATGCCAACCTCCCTCCAGTGAATTACCATGCATTGCATCAGTAACAGAAGAAGTGAAAAAACACAATACAAACTTGGAAAGCCTAATTAGCTTCAGACTCTGTCATGCTTGTTATGCATCAGGCTATCTGTAAACAGAATAAAAATGGTTAAAAGGCCTGGTTGTGTTTGAGGAGCTGCATGAGGGCTTTACTGTTTTTACAACGCTCATCTTCAGAGACGCTCAGCAGTAAAGGCAGCTGCTCCTCCGAGGCAACCAGCTTATCCAACATGACTGCTGCAGAAAAATGAACAAGTCAAAAGAACTATTGCACCTGCTCTAGACATGGAGATTTACTGAAAGAGTACATTTTTGCTGATAAACTATAGAAATGTTTAGTAGATCAGTGGACTCAGTGGTCTCCTTCAAAAAGCAGCTGAAGACTCACTTGTTCAAGCTGGCTTTTGTATGACCTTCTTCACCTCTCTCTCTTTATTCTGCTCTCTCCACCTATTCCACCTATTCTGACAGGCAACGCCTCCTTGTGGTGCAGGTATCAAACAGGAAATGGAATTGGAGTTAGATTCTAGTAGGGGGTGACTTGCTCTTTAAAGTAATAGCAGAGTTGTTAAATAATGTCTTCCAGATGTTTTTTAAATAGTTTTCTAGTTTTACTGTTAGTGTTATTGTTTTAATATGCAAACCCTCAAGTCTTCTTCCTTTTAAAGGTGAGTGAAATTGCTTTCTCCTCATTTTTTCTTTCAACCGTTTCTCATTTTATCTTGAGATTCTTTCTTAAGATTGAGTTGTCTGAAGGATAATCAAGGAACAATCTAAAACAAGTGTGGTAAGTAACTCAAGTCTATCAGATCGTTTGATCTCCAGGGAAGTCAGACCCTGTGTTGTTGTTACATACCAGCATGCAACTAAAATCTCACGTCAGTATATTTGGGCAAATGTAAGGAAGCTCATCTTTCAATGTTTTGAAATAATCAATGGGTATCTTAAAATGTTCCCAGAAATCACAGCTCGGGTTTGACACCAACAACAGAGAGGAAGCTGCTAAAGAAAGTCACAGCATACCCACAGCACCTGCTCAAGTAGCTAATGCATCTTGCTGATAGCTCTTGATGCACACATAGCTGCAGTGGGCAAGTCCAGATTGCCTTACTCAACAGGCCTGCAGCTCAGGGTGTGGTGGGCGACAAAGTGGTAACGTGGCTAAAATGCCCCGCTGTTAATAATCTAGATCCTGACAGCCATTTCCTGCAACAGCCGGGCGTCTTTTTCTGGATCCCGGAACTGCAGTAGCTCTGCTCTTCACTCCTCATTCCATCCCAGAATGTCTCTTATTATTTGTGGGTCAGGACTGAATGCCAAGCTGCAGGATTTTTGCTTCTAGTTTCTCAGAAGATATGGTGACGACACCAACGTTTCTTGTGTTTAGGATCAGGTTAATTCAAAATAATGTAAAGATTTGGATACGCAGACTCGGATTAATGTGGGGCTTTTTTGTTTCTGATTAACTTGAAAATTAATATTCTGAAAATAAAAAGAAGATCTTTTAGAGCTAGCATGCAGCAATAGAGAGTTTGTCGAGCGGGATAAACGTTGGGTTTTACTGCTCGTGCATTCACAGACCCAAAAGGTTTTTATGATTTTTCTGCTGATTCAAATGAAAGTTTGTGGATTCTGACCAGAACATTTCTTGGCACATCCTTCATGTTTGGTTGTTCTTATTCTTAACTTTGCCTTTAATCTGATTATTAAATCAGGAATCTGTGTATTTAATTTCATCTAAATTATCTGTGCATTTTATTTATGCTGTCATGTTGATTTTAATGCTTATGCTGTAAAGCACATTGAACTTCCTCCGTGTATGAACTGTGCTATGCAAATAACGCTGCCATGCCTCATTGTTCTGTAAATACATTACTCAGGAGACAAATTATACAACATGGATACTAAAAAATAAATAAATGCCACAGTGCTATTTATTGACAACTGCCACATGCAGAAGATGGGCCACGAGGTGTTCACTCTGCATGGATCAACAGGGACAAGAACCCTCTGACCTGGCCTTAAGGGACCTTCTGCCTACATCTCTATACAAGCTGTGTCTCAGGATAAATGATTCATTTTAAAGCTTTGGAACAAACAGGTCAGCTGTTGTTTGCTTGTGCTCTCTTAAACTTTACTAATTCACAACAAAACATGTTTTTTAACCATTTGCATCATGTATTAAACTTTAAGGTAAATCTATATTTTTACTCCCACTTTAATGCAACTTATTAGAAATGCCAAAGCTACCTTGCTCTGTTCACTCGAACATTTCATATTTCTACTCAATATTTACACTTTTTCTGACCCACTTCCGCATTATACAAACTTTATCTTTATACACTAAATAAATAAATAAAGACGCGAATGTTTGGCACTTCCAAGTAAGCAAATGGGGACTTTAAAAGGGGAACGGATGTAATATTTCATCTATTTGAGTTTTCCAGAACTAAAGACTAAAAAGTTCAGATATGTAATTCAACGTTAAACTCTATGCATGTGAAAAAGCTGCAATAAGCTTTAATATCTTGATGCTCGCCTTTGGAAACTCATTCTAGACTTGGATTTATTCGGGTGCCAGTTTTCTTTGCATGGCTGTCTTATTTCATTTAGTTCAAGACACGCTTTACATCATGATGAATTATTTCAACAGGAATGCAAAAGGGGATGAAAATGACTCTAAAAATAGGCCGGCTGGTGAGAGTCTATTTAAGGTTATATCTCCATGTCCATCATCTCCCATGGGTGGAGTCCATCGACATACATATAGGTGGAGCCTTGGACCGTACTCCTAAATCTACACGCAAACATAAATGTCGGGCAAAAAAAACTACATTAATCTTGAGAAAAATATCTTTTTGTATCGTTACGACACTTTAGAACAATAGTGAAAGACAAAAACACGCAGAAGGTTTGTAGCTGGTTAAAGCTCATTAAAACGTGTAAATGTGAACTGTTTTATTGTGGTAACAGGGACTGAGGATGAAAACTGTTTATGACTCTGTGCTTGTTCAAGAAGATATCATTAATTTTTGGCTTACTCATTTTATGGGGGAAAATTTTCATGCTAGCTTGTCTCAAGAGTAAATAAGGACAAGTCTGTGCGATGATCTCTGACATTTGAGGATGGGTCATTAAAGTGAAAGCAAACTGCGTAGCTGTCTGCTGACATGAAGTACTCACCCGTCTACGACAGAACGGTAAACCTTGAGCAATAATGTTGATGCTAAATATCTTGAGTATTTTCTGCGGGGGCAGTGACTCAGCCATGTTCTTGGGGTCTGCCAGGTTGAGTGTCTGGCTCTTTGATGGGATGTGCAAAGTCTTCTCTTTCCCACAGGCAGCAACTGGCATCTTCCTCTGCGCAGCCGACGATGAGAAGCGGGGTATGGGGCAATGCCGCAGCATTGCAAAACAGGCTGTCTAGAGGATCATATCCCAGAAGGAGGTCCAAATGCTGACCAAGGACAGTAGCGAGTAAGCTGCTCTTCTTAAATGACCGTGGAACCTTTCCTGGATCTCTACACCGTAGTGCAGGTGTATCAAACCTGCCCTCACTAAGCTCTCACCTACTCAGCACCCACTCAGCCACTTGACTGACATTCTTTAAAGCAACTCCGGGCTGTGAGGTCACCATTTAAACCAAGTTAGGTGGAGCAGCTGATGTCAGGGTCTGAAAAGAGGATGGACCAACTCAGCCGCTCCCCCTCGGCCTGCCCTGTGGAATCCACTCTCATGACCCCTCACTGGTGGAATGTGAACCAGGACTCGTCTGACGCAGCACACGTGTGGCTGGGGCGTTTCCTCATCGTGGTCTTTCTGTGACCCCTCTAATCTCTACAGATCAGAGACCTGCATCTTTGTGCTCAGGCAAGTTTACCCCACACAAACTCACAAGAAACCAAATCAGTGCTTCCTGATTAACAAGCGAGATTTTGTTCTACTTTCTCGACTGATCCTTTGGTGTCAAGGGATGTCAATAACGCTGTCCATGTCAGCAGAGAGACTTGGGTTAGTTCAGGAGAAGATCACAGTTGTCCACGTTTAGTATGTGTGACACAAGGTCTTAAGTAATGGATTCTCTTGAACCAAGTGAAGACAAAAGTGATTTTAGGTCTGTTGAATTGTATCAAAATAGGCTCGAAATGATGTAGAAGCACCATTTCCTTTAAATAACAACACAAACGTGTATCTGTAAAGATGTGATCATATGAAGGTGCTCAGTTGTACACAGTGGTGTAACTGCAGGGTGTTGATACTATTTATGCTCAATTCCTCTTTGTCCAAAAGTTGAGACTGCAGACTCGGAGAAGACTGATCTTTCCTCTGAGTGAGTTTACATTTTTGAACAGCCAGTAAAAAAAAGACCTAAAGGAATTAACCGCTCTTCTATTCTTGCAGGCACCATTGTTTGAGGAGGATTAGAGTGCACCGAGGGCCCTAACACACCAGCCATGTTAACCTCTGCGTGTCAGACCAACACCCACATATTTTATTGGATGTTCAGCACAGTTGGAGCAAGCTGGTGCCGTATTGATGACCGCTTAGCCAACTGAGCATGTATGACTACAGCGGAGGCGGTTGGTGCCATCGAGAGAATTCACTCACTTAGAAAAGTCTTGTCTGTCATGCCTTTTGACGAGCTAAACCATCTCCTGCTACTCATTCTAAGGAAAAATGTTTTCTGTTTGTGTTTTATAGCGTTCTGCTCTGAGACACGATGGACAAATAAAGAATCCTGTCTTTTACATGAGCAGCCGTACAGACTAAGCTCAACATGAGGGAATGAGCTCCGACAATAAATTACCACACAGTCTGAAACTAAAAATGTCTCGTTTGTAAAAAGGCGTCTGATGCCCGGGGGCCATTTTGAAATAACGCATTTCCTATTCAGTCCATGCTTGGAATGACTGAATGTGAACGTTTTGTGTTGGAGAAAATGAACTGTTGCCAAAAGGCCGACGGTGTGAAATAACCAAGGAGGCGACGCCGAGCGGATGCTTGTTCCAGGCCTTGCAGAGGTTACTTGAGCTTTCAAACTAATCTTAGTCCTTTAAGCCATGTGAAAGACACACTATTACAGCCTGCAACTACAACATCACCCCCTCTCAAAATGAAGCACGGCCAGCATGTTCAACATTCAGTAATAAACGCACGTGCTTGATCTGAACGATCATCCCAAAAATTACAATATTCTTTGAATTTACTGTCTGTATTCTCACTGAACAAAGTCAAAGCCAAACTCTGTAAGCAAAACTGTTTCATTACAAACACACAACGTTCCCATTTAGCACATTACAGGAGTAAAACATTTCACTGCTTTCTTTTCAGACTGCTGCTCTGCATTTAAGCTCACTCTGTTCAAACCCTAGATAAGGCGTGCCGATACTGCCAAAGGCAGGAAGTCAAGAATGCTTTGGCTTCGAGTAAGGCGGCGTGCTGTCAAGTTACTTCTAGCTCCAGAGCAAGTGGGATGAAGGGTATAAATCTGCATGAAGGATAGACAGATATAGAGTTCAGTATATAGTATTCACAGTGTTTTAAACGGAGGTTTTCTTTATTTGGATCAAGTCCTGTAAAAAATCTATTTATTGATGGAGAACGCAGCCGAGTTCCCAGTGGGGGGAAATAAACTGGAGACAATCAGATATTTTAGCATGTTTTTTAAACTGAACATAAGTGTGGTCTTATTTACTTTTTTATAATCAAACATGAATTATTCAATCCTGCTTACTTTTGTGAACAGCAACAATGAGCAGCACAAAAAATAACAGGAAAAAGAACAAACAGTAACAGTGGGTTGGTATAACTCAGCTATATGTCTCCCTCTAGTGGAACAGAATGGAACAACAATTCTGCACTGGAGTTAAAAAAAACTAAATCATTCACATCTCAAGTGATAAACGAATAATGGGGTTACTTAGAGTTAATTAGAAAACTGTTAGAAACACTTAATATAAAGCTGTATTGGTACTGTCTCATTACCAAAGCTTGTCATTAGAACAGTCACAACTGCATGAAGTGGTGGATTTCACCAGATGAACATAAAAGTGACTGATGTACAAAAATGCTATAGTCATATATTTTATTTTATTTTATTAATGGTCCTAGAAAATGCCAAAGCCCTTCTGTGTTGCCTCTAACTCAGGGGTGTCCAATCCTGGTCCTGGAGGGCTGGTATCCAGCAGGTTTTTGGGCCATTCCCATCTGTACCGGGTCGGCCCGGGCCGGGTAGCGTAGGTTGTTTACATATCTGGGTAGCCTGGTATTTTTCCGGGCCAACCAAGGCTCATTCTCAACCCTCTTCTCGAGGGAGTCTGCTTCAGGCTGACCAGGGCCGACACACCCACTGCTGACAGCAAATTCACACCTTCCATTAGAGCAAGCCTCTGATTGGTGGGTAGAATCAGCCCACATGGGCTTAAGACAAGGATGTGTGGAATCAACCGGGCCAGGCTGGGGCCGACTGGGGCTACCCGGCCCGGGCCGACCCGGTACAGATGGGAATGGCCCATTTGTGGTTTTTCTGCTCCAACAGGCTTGATTCAGTGGTTGAAACACCTGTGCAGCAGCTCATCAGGCTCTGCAGAAGTCTGTTAATTAGCTGCTGATTGAAATCAGGTGTGTTGAAACAGAGTTCAAACTAAAACATGCAGGATACCGGCCCTCCAGGACCAGGATTGGACTAAATTTCATTGTTATTTCCTGATGAAAAACACCCCCAACAAGGTTTATGGGTTCACTTTTACATTTTCATGTCTCAGTTGCTTCTTCCCTTTAGCTGTGCTAAACTCTGCTAGGCTATTGCAAAAGGCCGGATGGGAAGAAGCGAGGCATGTCTGCATCATCATGCCCCGATCTTCACCATCCTGGCAGTCACGAGTCTGGATCCCACCTCCCCAGGACTGTAAACAGTAACGCCCAGTCTCTCCGTGACGTCACTAAGATGTGCACCCTGCTGACATTGGGGCAACAGAATGGCAGTGACTACAAGCATGGAGTGGGCGGAGGAGGAGGCCTATGTACAGTGGGGCAAAAAAGTATTTAGTCAGCCACCGATTGTGCAAGTTCTCCCACTGAAAATGATGACAGAGGTCAGTAATTTACATCATAGGTACACTTCAACTGTGAGAGACAGAATGTGAAAAAAAATCCATGAATTCACATGGCAGGATTTTTAAAGAATTTATTTGTAAATCAGGGTGGAAAATAAGTATTAGGTCACTTCAAACAAGGAAAATCTCTGGCTCTCACAGACCTGTAACGTCTTCTTTAAGAAGCTTTTCTGTCCTCCACTCGTTACCTGTATTAATGGCACCTGTTTGAACTCATTATCTGTATAAAAGACACCCGTCCACAGCCTCAAACAGTCAGACTGCAAACTCCACTATGGCCAAGACCAAAGAGCTTTCGAAGGACACCAGGAAAAGAATTGTAGACCTGCACCAGACTGGGAAGAGTGAATCTACAATAGGCAAGCAACTTGGTGTGAAAAAATCAACTGTGGGAGCAATTATCAGAAAATGGAAGGCATACAAGACCACTGATAATCTCCCTTGATCTGGGGCTCCACGCAAGATCTCATCCCGTGGGGTCACAATGATCATGAGAACGGTGAGCAAGAATCCCAGAACCACACGGAGGGACCTGGTGAATGACCTGCAGAGAGCTGGGACCACAGTAACAAAGGTCACCATCAGTAACACACTACAACGGCAGGGAATCAAATCCTGCAGTGCCAGACGTGTTCTGCTGCTGAAGCCAGTGCATGTCCAGGCCCATCTGAAGTTTGCCAGAGAGCACATGGATGATGCAGCAGATGATTAGGAGAATGTCATGTGGTCAGATGAAACCAAAGTAGAACTTTTTGGTATAAACTCAACTCGTCGTGTTTGGAGGAAGAAGAATACTGAGTTGCATCCCAAGAACGCCATACCTACTGTGAAGCACGGGGGTGGGAACATCATGCTTTGGGGCTGTTTTTCTGCTAAGGGGACAGGAAGACTGATCCGTGTTAAGGACAGAATGAATGGGGCCATGTATCGTGAGATTCTGAGCCAAAACCTCCTTCCATCAGTGAGAGCTTTGAAGATGAAACGTGGCTGGGTCTTCCAACACGACAATGATCCCAAACACAGCGCCCGGGCAACAAAGGAGTGGCTCCATAAGAAGCATTTGAAAGTCCTGGAGTGGCCTAGCCAGTCTCCAGACCTCAACCCCATAGAAAATCTGTGGAGGGAGTTGAAAGTCCGTGTTGCTCGGCGACAGCCCCAAAACATCACTGCTCTCGAGAAGATCTGCATGGAGGAATGGGCCAAAATACCAGCTACTGTGTGTGCAAACCTGGTAAAGACCTATAGTAATCGTTTTACCTCTGTTATTGCCAACAAAAGTTATGTTACAAAGTATTGAGTTGAATTTTTGTTATTGGCCAAATACTTAATTTCCACCCTGATTTACAAATAAATTCTTTAAAAATCCTGCCATGTGAATTCATGGATTTTTTTTCACATTCTGTCTCTCACAGTTGAAGTGTACCTATGATGTAAATTACTGACCTCTGTCATCATTTTAAGCGGGAGAACTTGCACAACGGTGCCTGACTAAATACTTTTTTGCCCCACTGTACATAGGCCTCCTCCTCCGCCCACTCCATGCTTGTAGTCACTGCCATTCTGTTGCCCCAATGTCAGCAGGGTGCACATCTTAGTGACGTCATGTGTTTTTGCGATATCGCGGTATTGAAATTTAGCCAAAAACACTATCATTACCCAATTTTAGATCGTTTCTACCTTATTTCGTTTATATTGCCCACCCCTACTTCCCACACACACATTCTCTCTCTCTCTCTCTCTCTCTCTCTCTCTCTCTCTCTCTCTCTCTCTCTCTCTCTCTCTCTCTCTCTCTCTCTCTCTCTCTCTCTCTCTCTCTATCTATATATATATATATATATATATATATATATATATATATATATATATATATATATATATATATATATATATATATATATATATATATATATATATATATATATATAAATAAACTATGTGACCGGATGTTTGGGGCATCTTGCCACAGTTATAACTGTTTGACTTGTTGTTCATTGTCTCCATTTTCTCTCCGACTACAGGGAAATGGGTTATTGATAAACTTACTGATCAAATCCATGACAGAACCCATCTGTGATGAGTCATAAGCCACCTAATCTGGTGGCACATCAGGCCTTAGTCAGTTTCTTTTTACACAGCTCAACCAGCTCAATCACAAAAGGTCTCTGTTGTGAAAACTGCTAAGTTATAAATAAACTATTAATGAAACTTTTAATTTAAACTCATAACAGATCCTTCCATAATACCATGCACATTTAACCACAGCTCAACAGAATGTGTGCAAAGCCAGATGGCTCCTCCAATGGGCCATTCCCATCTGTACCGGGTCGGCCCGGGCCGGGTAGCCCCAGTCGGCCCCAGCCTGGCCCGGTTGATTCCACACATCCTTGTCTTAAGCCCATGTGGGCTGATTCTACCCACCAATCAGAGGCTTGCTCTAATGGAAGGTGTGAATTTGCTGTCAGCAGTGGGTGTGTTGGCCCTGGTCGGCCTGAAGCAGACCCCCTCGAGAAGAGGGCTGAGAATGAGCCTTGGTTGGCCCGGAAAAATACCAGGCTACCCAGATATGTAAACAACCTACGCTACCCGGCCCGGGCCGACCCGGTACAGATGGGAATGGCCCACAAGTGACTAAGGCCCTGATAAACACACCTGGTCGGTCAGCTGTGTCAGATCACAAGAGGCCCAGGGGAACTAAACCTGACTGAATTGAACAGAATTGTAATGGAGAACAGCGTCTGAATCACAGGATCCAATAAAGAATAAAAACTATACGGATCTAAATGTAAGAAATGGTGCTGAACACAAATGTGTGTTACTCTAAACACTCTTTCACATGAAACTTTGAACAGTTTACTCTTTACAAGTGCTAAACAGGATGTGCATTTTTGGATTTCAGATATAAAATCATGTTTCCCAATCAAACATGAAACAAGTTTCTGACTTAACAGTGTTGAGTTTTACAGTGCTGGAGCATTCTGGCCACTGGGTGGCGCTGTTGTTTCAAACAACAATGCAGCGCTGGTGCAGAACATTTTCAGAAGTTTGTGAGACTACAGGAACATCTGGCCAGATGTGATTGTAAAGCTACTCACAGACGTGCAGAACGGCTAACAGGATCCATTAAGCTGCTTACCTTCTTGTTGGAAGAACTTTGGTGTGTGAAGAGCAAGTCCTGATTATTCCTGGGGGCAGACACTTTGTTCCTGAGAGTGGGGGAGCGGAGCCCATCTCCCACCTCCTCCTCCTCCTCCTCCTCCTGCTCAAACTCATCACTGTCTTGGTCCATCTCTTCGTCATCCTCCTCCTCCTCTTCCTCCTCACCCTCATCCCTCTCCTCCTCTTCCCTTCCTTGTTCCTCCCCTCCCTCTGTCCTCTCCTCTGTCTCCTCCTCCTCTTGGTGGCTGCTGCTATTGTTGTTCTCCTCCTCTTCTTCCTCTTCTTCCTCCTCTTCGAGGTGCGGCTGGCCTCGGAGCGCTCTCTGCTCTGCTCCCCACACCCATCGGACTCCTTTATAATCCCCGGTCACTTCATTTAGCTGGCCTCCTCTTCTCTCCTCCTCGTCTGCTTCTCCTTGAGGGCCGTTGCTGGCTCCTGACTCGGCGGGTGCCCATGGCTGCTCCCTTTCATCATCAACCTGTGACGCATCCGGCTGCAAAACGCCACAGAGAAGAATAACAATGACCTTTTAGGGAAACCCAGTTTATGTTCCAACATGCACAAAATAAAAAAAACCTCACCCTCTGCTGTGGCTGCTCGCTTTCCTCAACCACCCGGTTGATGTGATCATCTTCCTCACCCTCCTCTGCTGCCTGCTGGGGTGCCCGGGCCGTAGAGGAGGCGTTACCTCGTACTGCCTGACCCCCGGGGCCCCGGCTCCGCCTGCTGCTGCTGCCCCCCGACAGCAGATCCTGGTTCATTTCCAAAAGCCAGCTTGCTACCTCCTGAACCTTCGCTAGGCTGTCTGAGGAGGGGATGGTCTTGACATTCTGCAAAACACAAACAGAACACTTAAGCTATGGTTAATGCATTGGTTGTTATTCCTCATCTTCTCTTAAACTGTCTGGAGTACTTTCCATAAAATCAGCCAAGTTATTAAATATTATTGATGTGGAGAATTAGCTTGTGGGAAACCGATTGTGCTGCTCAGCAGCAGACAAGCAACAGTGATGGGTGTGATTGTGTTTTGGGACAGGAGCCACAACGTCAGAGATAAATGTAAACAACTCTCTTGTAAGTTTGTCAAATTACAGAAAAAACAATATGTCAAATACAAAAGCTAAATATTGTTTCACTGTAAAAGAAGATGAGAGCTGCAGCTCCAAACTTGTCGCTCCACACAGTTCTAAAATATCTAAAATCCAAAAGAAAGCTGCTGTTTCATCTTTAATCAAATAAAATTTAAAGTTTACTCATTTAAGTACATTTTTAATAATTAAGGGACCTGTTGCTGCAGCAAGCAGGGACCTTATTGTTATGCACCTGGGGAGTTTTAGATATTAATATCCGTTATTATTCTTCCGCGGACGTTAACGCGGCTCGAGCGGCAGCGTGCACCCCCACAAATTATACATCAAAATAAACGGCTCAGCAGTGGGAGGTGTGCTTTTACTTTTCTAAGCATTTTGATTTATGATGGTGAAATTATTAGCAAAAAACATATTCTTTTATTCATTTTGAGTGTGTCTAAATTTGCATTAACTTTGCATGATTATGATTTAATTATGTGCACAATAATGGATGAATTTGATGGCAGGCCTTCTAAAGAGGCATTTTTTTTACATGTGTATGAATGTTATCTTGTGCCAGCTGGCAGGTCCCTTTTTAAAAATTCTTCAGGAATTTTCTAGTTAGAAATTGTAATTTATCATCAGGCAACATACTAAACCCTGAAAGTTGACAGATCAAATCAGATTCTGTAAATTACCAAAAGTCAGGGTTTTAACTATTAACTTTGTCATATTCCTTATACTCGTTAAAGGGATATTCCACCCCAAAGTAAATAGTGTCTGCTGCTATATTTCCATAGTTAGATAAGTAGAAAAAACACTATTTGTAACCAGCCCAGTCATTCTCATGATTAATCTGTACTGCTTTAGCTTTAGCTTAGCATGAAACAATGTAAGAGAATGGTAACAACTTCAGTGTGTGAAAATGTCATTAAAATTACTCAATAGTGAGTCAATAATTATTTAGGGCACAGAGCAGAATTAGGATCGCTCTTGTCTTCTTAGTTCAGCAGGGTCCTAGTTGTCCTGTAACCGGACGGTTGCAGGTTTGAGCCCTGTCTATTGCAGTCATTGTGTCCTTGGGCAAGATACTTAACCCTCCTTGCCTGTTGGGGGTGGTCAGAGGGACTAGTGGTGCCTATGTACAGCCGCCTCACCGGTCTGTGTGCCCAAGGACAGCTGTGGCTCATCACTACAAGTGTGTGAGTGTGTGAGCCTGGGTGAATGACCAAATGTGTTGTAAAGCACCTTGGGGGGTTTTAGAACCCTAGAAAGTGCTAAATATAATACAGGACATTTAACTAAAAATATTAACACTTCAAGAGATGTCCATTCATACGAGACGTATGTGAGGAAGATAGGAGCTTTTTATTAACAGAGTTCAAAATGACTTCTGAGGCTAAAGGCGTCTGCGTCAGTGCGGAGACGCGCAACGCCATTATCCGTCCTTGTGAGGGCTCTCCAGCAGGTTTGCAAGGATGAACGGAGTCGAGTCCACTTTTCTAAACATCCGTTGAATAAGACGGAGACCGCAAGCCTGTGATTGGTCAGGACGCTGCTTTTGTCAACAGCACCGCCATTGCCCCCCTCAAAAAAATAAAGAGAGCCAAAGATATCTAGCGGCAGACACAGAGCAGCTTGAAAAATACCTCATGGAAAACCTCTAAAAATATGAATGTTTGTTCACCTGTGACTGGAGGAGTGAAAAGATATGCAGCAAGCATTTTATTCGTGGATAAAAATGACGGGAAACGTGGGTGGCGAGCACATGAAGAAGTGGAGGAGAATGAGGAACAAATGTATTTGTGTTAAAAGGTGTTTAAAATACAAAAAACACAATATAAACACTATATTTAATGCATCATCTCGAACCGGATACGTGACAGGATACCACAGAACAATGCTACGCCCTCTGTTGTCCTGGCAGGGAATTGCTTTGAAACACTTCTCAGGAGACAGAGAAGACCAAAACGTCTCCGTGGATGTGTCTCTCCCTTGTGGAGCTGACGCAGAAGCATAAACTAGGCTTTGCCGAGGGTTTGAAAGCCAAGATCAACAAGAAATAAAAACTGGCTCTTTGAACACAAGAAATTTAAACTTTTAAAAGGTGTTTGCAACACCTGTAATGTACAATGATTTAGGTCAATTAAAATGGTGTTATGATAAATATATTTCATCAGTACCCTTAAAACAAAAAGCACCTTCCTATTTTGCTGTATCTTTAACAATCGTGTATGTAAACTTTCTTAGTGTTAGAGAAACTGGGGCAAATCTTTCAAACTGGCTGAAAAATGACCTCTTTTTGATAGCAAACAATATTTTTACAGCAAATGTTGGGTTCCAAAAGATGTCTAAGTAAACTGTGACTAATAAAGAATCAGCTATGCCCACTGCAGGTCCCAATATCTACAACCTACCACACAGGAAAACACATTTTTGGAGGATGCTCAGAGCTCACATTCTTCATCTGTTTCAGTTCGCACCAAGTTGCTTGACCTTGGGCACAAAGTCACTGGTCCCTTTGTAAAGCTTCTTTTCCTCTTTGGGGGTAAAGTCCCAGAGCTGCTGTGGTGGGAAGCATTAGACCCATCTCAAATTGCACGGCCCCTTCTCTAGAGACTGCCAGTCCATAGCTGTGAGCCAAGAAAAGGAAGGTTATGAATAGCTGAAATTTCTCTGACTTTACTGGAACTACCAGGATTCTGTAATCGGTGTCCTTAACACAGCTTGAAAAGTGCTGCTTGTTGCTACTTAGACAACAGCAAGCTGTGCAAACACACTGTGTATGGGCAAACAGTAAAACCTGGTGGAGCTGAAACTATTCGACTTGTTTTGTTCAGGAGTTTCAGAGTTGTGTTTCAAAACATCGACATTTTATGGATGACAGCTTCCTGATTGCAGACAGAACCATGGACCAATACAAAGTAAATAAGCTTTGTTACATATAGTGTCCAAATCAAAACCCACACATAAACATAGGTATGACATTTCTTCTGAACAAGTAAAATTGTGCATTCAGATGTAGAGATGGAACAAAAAAAAAACAGCGCCAACCTCTAAGGACCAGAACAGCAGACAGGATAGCTCAAGAGAACTTCAATGGTGTCAACACAACGAAGGTTTGGCAATTAAAGAAACAGCAACCTGTCGGTGGCTGATGGAGCAGAGGCCCTACAGCGAGGAGTTAAAATGTTTACTTGCCATGATCATTTTCCATCCAACAGTGACAACAACTTCAAAGTGAAGGACTACAAAGTGGGGCGCAGACTTAAAGAGATATGAAACAGTTTTGCATGCTTATAGCACCCCCTAGTGTCCGTTATTTATTATCTGTGGTAAAAACAAAAGATACAGGTGCTGGCCAGTAAATTAGAATATCATCAAAAGGTTGAAAATATTTCAGTAATTCCATTCAAAACGTGAAACTTGTACATTATATTCATGCAATGCACACAGACCAATGTATTTCCGATGTTTATTACGTTTAATTTTGATATTTATAGGTGACAACCAATGAAAACATCAAATCTGGTATCTCAGAAAATTAGAATATTCTAAAGGCCAATGAAAAAATGTTTGTTTCTCTAATGTTGGCCAACTGAAAAGAATGAACATGAAAAGAATGTGCATGTATAGCACTCAATACTTAGTCGGGGCTCCTTTTGCCTCAATAACTGCAGTAATGCGGCGTGGCATGGACTCGATCAGTCTGTGGCACTGCTCAGGTGTTATGAGAGCCCAGGTTGCTCTGATAGTCGTCTTCAGCTCCTCTGCATTGTTGGGTCTAGCGTATTGCATCCTCCGCTTCACAATACCCCATAGATTTTCTATGGGGTTAAGGTCAGGCGAGTTTGCTGGCCAATCAAGGACAGGGATACCATGGTCCTTGAACCAGGTGCTGGTGGTTTTGGCACTGTGTGCAGGTGCCAAGTCCTGTTGAAAGGTGAAGTCTGCATCCCCATAAAGTTGGTCAGCAGCAGGAAGCATGAAGTGCTCTAAAACTTCCTGGTAGACGGCTGCATTGACCCTGGACCTCAGGAAACAGAGTGGGCCAACACCGGCAGATGACATGGCACCCCACACCATCACTGACGGTGGAAACTTTACACTGGACCTCATGCAACGTGGATTCTGTGCTTCTCCGCTCTTCCTCCAGACTCTGGGTCCTTGATTTCCAAAGGAAATGCAGAACTTGCTTTCATCAGAAAACATAACTTTGGACCACTCAGCATCAGTCCAGTCCTTTTTGTCCTTGGCCCAGGTGAGACGCTTCTTGCGCTGTTTCTTGTTCAAGAGTGGCTTGACACACGGAATGCGACACCTGAATCCCATGTCTTTCATGAGTCTCCTCGTGGTGGTTCTTGAAGCGCTGACTCCAGCTGCAGTCCACTCTTTGTGGATCTCCCCCACATTTTTGAATGGGTTTGTCGTCACAATTCTCTGCAGGGTGCGGTTATCCCTAGAGCTTGTACACTTTTTTCTACCACATTTTTTCCGTCCCTTCGCCTGTCTGTTAATGTGCTTGGACACAGAGCTCTGCGAACAGCCAGCTTCTTTAGCAATCACCTTTTGTGTCTTGCCCTCCTTGTGCAAGGTGTCAATGATTGTCTTTTGGACAGCTGTTAAGTCAGAAGTCTTCCCCATGATTGTGGTGCCTTCAAAACAAGACTGAGGGACCTTTTAAAGGCCTTTGCAGGTGTTTTGAGTAAATCAGCTGATTAGAGTGGCAGCAGGTGTCTTCTATATTCAGCCTTTTCAGA